TGTTAAAATATTGGAACCAAATTGCTTGCCACGGCTATCAAACTGCAAACTAAAAAAGACTACAATGCAGCTGCTATTTTTCTTATTTATTCAATTTTCAAACATAGAAATCAGAAGTCTTTTCTCACGCAAAGCTAATGATTAGTTGATTAAAATGACTGGAAAAAATTTTGGGGTGCCTGAGCTCGTTAGTTAGCTATAGCCATTTTTCAACTGACAGAACGCAATATCAAGGCAAATCCGCCATGTTTTCAATATGCGCGTGCACGAACGCTCGCTAATGTCGCCATAAATTATGCGCAGTAAGGATGCGCAATGCAATACTGGGGAATGACCTTAAGCCTGATTTGGTACATATAACTTCTTGCAGAAATGATATTAGTATCGAACATACTGCTAGTGCTGTTTTTATTGCCTTTTTTGGCTACGAAAGGACGAATTTTTACGGTTTAGTTTGTACTGTATTTACAAATTTTCAATACACAAAATTAAAATTCTGTTCACAACTCGGCCTCAGGTTTATTCGCAAAATATTTTAAAAGTTTCGCAAATTTCAGCCTCGATTTCCTTATAAAGCGTTCCTTCAATAGACAAGTTACAATACTTCCGGTTTGCCTGGGAACCGGAAAACAGGAAACAACAAAAACAACAGTCGTTGGGTTGTTGGCTATTGTAGTGCCAGTCCTTCTCCGCGTTTAACTCATTTTGCGAAGAGCGCCTTCTGCGACAAGGCTATTTCAGGTCTTTGTTCCTCGATTTTTCTCGGCTACAGTGCGATGGGCAGTTTTGAAATGCACTTGAACTTTAAAAATGGTAAAGTCAACCAGCTGAGAGGAAGCAATTCCAATGCAATGACGAGGAACACACCTCGATCTTCCAAGGTACACATGTGAACTTTGCTAATATGCAGTGATGTGTTGTGTTCTTCTTGTAATTAAGGTTCAATGAAATGATTTCCCTTTTTTGTTTTAACGGATTTTCTTTTTTTCCTAAGTCGATGTCGGTCTTTTTCATTGAAGAATGGTTTCAAAGATGGTCACAGATNGTAAGGATGCGCAATGCAATACTGGGGAATGACCTTAAGCCTGATTTGGTACATATAACTTCTTGCAGAAATGATATTAGTATCGAACATACTGCTAGTGCTGTTTTTATTGCCTTTTTTTGGCTACGGAAGGACGAATTTTTACGGTTTAGTTAAAAACATATAACTGTACTGTATTTGCAAATTTTCAATACGCAAAATTAAAATTCTGTTCACAATCTCGGCCTCAGGTATATTCTCAAAATATTCTAAAAGTTTCGCAAATTTCAGCCTCGATTTTCTGATAAAGCGTTCCTTGAATAGACAAGTTACAATACTTCCGGTTTGCCTGGGAACCGGAAAACAGGAAACCCGCAACAGTCGTTCAGTTGTTGGCTATTGTAGTGCCAGTCCTTCTCCGCGTTGAACTCATTTTGCGAAGAGCGCCTTCTGCGACAAGTCTATTTCAGTTCTTTGTTCCTCGATTTTTCTCGGCTACAGTGCGATGGGTAGTTTTGAAATGCACTTGAACTTTAAAAATGGTAAAGTCAACCAGCTGAGAGGAAGCAATTCCAATGCAATGACAAGGAACACACCTCGATCTTCCAAGGTACACTTGTGAACTTTGTTAATGTACAGTAATGTGTTGTGTTCTTCTTGTAATTAAGCTTCAATGAAATGATTTCCCGTTTTTGTTTTAACGGATTTTCTTTTTTTCCTAAGGCAATGTCGGTCTTTTTCATTGAAGAATGGATTCAAAGATGCTCACAGATCGCCGAGCATGGTGGGGGAGACTACAAGCAAATGGAGCTAAATACACAGAAATCGATCAACTTACAAGAACTAACGAGTGAGCGCAAATATTACATGCACTAATAATTCGACGTACTCACCCTCCTAGATAAAACCCCGAGAATAAGTCTTGAGCCGCACAAGTGGTGAGCAATCTCGCCCCCTGGAATAATGTTTACATAAACATTCCAAAGTCGCTTCATGTCTTTTACATCAAGCTCCCGGGTTGTGGGCGTGGAGACCGGAGGGCTTTTTGAGGTATTCTTCAGAACATTTGTTCATTGCTGCTAGTTAAGTCTGTTTCTTTTTGGTTTGATCCCACCCCACCCCCCTGCCCCCCCATCCCTCTGGAAATTCCACTTTTATGCTATACTTTCCCTTAAAAATTGTGGGCTTTGAGATGCCCCTCCCCCTGGGAATTCCCAGTAAGCCTAAAGTAGAACATTCGGCAGTTTACAGGCAAGTGTGGCAAAAACATTAACTGGCTGTTTAAAACAGGACATTTTATACAGAGTATTAAATATCAATTTCAATGTGTGTGTGCTTTATGTTATGGACATTTATTGTTAGACAACAGGAAGTTTTTCTTGTGGCACTCCAATACATTTAGATGTAGAATCACTTGGTGGCCAAAAGACTATTGAACAATTACAGTTAATAA